GGGGGGGGGGGGAAAACCCCCCCCCCGCCATTTTCGTAACTTCTCCTTTTTTCTTCTTGGCGTTTCAATTTGGATTCCACACGACAAAATTGCCCGGTACTTGTTTGTTATAACGTGAAGCTCGATCATGGTTCAGCTCCGTGTCACTTCGGTCACCGATGGGGTTCCTTGGGCCAGCGGTGGGGGCTCCAGGACCCCGCGGGGTTGGGGCTCCCTCCCACATTTTCCATCCTTCCACGAAAACCAACCAAACAAAAGCTCATTTTGGGCCAGATTGGGAAACCTCGAGCTGCCGCGCTGGTTTCGGGCAGGACTCCGCTCACCCCGCTCGCCCCCATGTGAAGAGCCACGGGTGGCAGCCGGCCCTCGCACGGCGGCAGCGGGTGTGCGTGCACGTGCGTGTGCGCACCGCGAGGTGTGCGCGCGATACGCGCGGGTGTGCCCAGGCGGGTGTGCACGCTGCGAGGCGGGAGTGCGCGCTGCAGGGAGCGGGTGTGCGCACATGCGTGCGTGCACGCTGCGAGGTGCATGTGTGTGCTGCAGGGAGCTGATGTTCACACACGTGTGCATGCACGCTGCGAGGCGGGAGTGCGCGCTGCAGGGAGCGGGTGTGCGCACATGCGTGCACGCATGCTGCAAGGTGCGTGTGTGCTGCAGGGAGTTGGTGTGTGCACGCGTGTGTGTGCACGCTGCGAGGTGCGTGTGTGATGCGTGTGGGTGTGTGCACGTGCATGCGTGCACATTGCGAGGTGCGTGTGTGCTGCAGGGAGCTGGTGTGCACACGCGTGTGCGTGAACACTGCGAGGTGTGTGTGCGCGCTGCAGGGAGCGGGTGTGCACACGCATGTGCGTGCACACTGCGAGGTGCATGTGTGCTGCAGGGAGCGGGTGTGCGCACGTGCGTGCGTGCACGCTGCGAGGTGCGTGTGTGATGCGTGTGGGTGTGTGCACGTGCGTGCGTGCACGCTGCGAGGGGTGTGTGTGTGCTGCAGGGAGCAGGTGTTCACACGCGTGTGCGTGAACACTGCGAGGGGTGTGTGCGTGCTGCAGGGAGTGGGTGTGCACACGCGTGTGCGTGCACGCTGCGAGGTGCGTGTGTGCTGCAGGGAGCTGGTGT